GGGCTTCAGTGACTTTCAGGGACATGTTAAACTTTTTTAGTTAGCCATTTTAACCATTGACTAATTTGCATGCCTTTGTAGAATGTTTTTGCCTTTGTTAATATGATAATTTAAACATTTGCACATGCACAGTGACACGTGTGACGCAATCAATCTGGTGGTAGCTGAGCACACATTGTTGTGAGTTCGTTCAGCAATGTGCATCATTAGCGAGGAAGTCATGTCAATGTAATTCACATACATGCAAAATTAATCATGGAGTAAGCATCAGTCTGCTAAGTAGTGCACTGGAACAGAGCAAATCAGAGTGCAAATAGGCACCGTGTGAGCTGCCTAAATGTTGCTGACTTAAATGGCTTTTTTCGTGTTATTTTATGCATTCCACAGTTAACTCCAGGCATGAATCGGATTGAATATAACCTTTGGCACAATGGCAGTCTCAGTTCTTATGAAATAGGAGTTACAGTGACCCCTCACTATATATTCATAATTTTTTTTTTTTTTTTAATGGCAAACAACTCAGAGACTATGGCCGCCGCATCGGGGGGCCATAATGCTGCTGCTCGCCTTTTGACTGGTACTCATAAGTAGGAGCACATACAGTAACTCCTATTCTGGCATCCCTTCACTGGCTCCCTGTACATTTTAGAGTTAATTTTAAGATTCTATTGTATGTTTTTAAATCTTTAAATGGCCTCGCTTCACCTTAGCTGTCTGAGCTCCTTTGCCCCCACACACCTGCCTGGTGCCTCAGGTCTACGGAGCAGACCCTATTAGAGGTACCAAGAACTAAGCGGGGGCTCAGAGGGGATCGAGCCTTTTCTGGTGTCGGTGCTTCTCTTTGGAATGACCTCCCACTGAACGCTTGACAAGCCCCCTCGGTGCCCATCTTTAAAACTCGTCTCAAAACTCATTGGTATTCTTTGGCTTTTGACTCAGCATGAGACGTTTTAGTTTCACTGTTTATGTGCTATGTTCTGTTTTCGCTATCAATTTATTGTTTTATTGTTTGTTGTATTTTTGCTCCATGTACAGCACTTTGTGTACAGCGATGGTTGATTTAAAGGGCGCTATACATACGGTTGAGTTGAGTGTAAAGTTCAATCCTTGGAATTGGTCCAAAAATGTTGGAATTACAGATGAAAAATGAAAACAATCAGAATATATGTATATTTTTTGTGGGAATTTTAATGGTGAAAACTTTGACTCTTTGGTAAGTGGGACTATTGGGCAAGGGACGTGATAAGCCGAACAAAGTTGGTCTGGTTTGAATCGGTCAAAATTAGAGGAGAAAAAAGAAATCAATCATTAACAAAATTTTTGTTATTTTAATGCTGAAAATGTTTAATTTTTGGGAGTTGGCAGTTTTTGACATTTTGAAAATCGCTCCCAAGATTAACTCAATGTGCTGAATTATTTAAATTTCGAAGAGGAACTACTTGAATCTATTAAGTTGAATGTGCTAGTAAGAATTGATGGAGACTGTTTGGTGGCAAACTTTTGAACTCTGAAAATTTGGAATGTATTTAAAATTAGAAAAATAGTAGCCCTGTATGGTGTAAAATCTTGGACTGTGTTGAAATTGGAATCAGGTGAATCTGTGGCTAAATATAGAAATAGAGGTGAATAAAGTAGAATGTATACATTTGTGATTTTGTGGCGACAGAAAATTTTGTGAAATTACTGTGACAATGTGACATTTTTGTTATGTGTGAATTTTTGCAATGTTGAAATATGTTGCCAATGTGAACTGAATGAGCTCTCATTTGGAGTGAAAAATGCGAACTTGTGAAAAATTTTGAAACGAGGAAAAACAGTATCTCGAGTGACATGAATTTTCTGAATATTTTGAAATTGGAACGAAGTGAATCGGATGAAAATTATGGAAGGAGATAAAGGACAAAAAAGTGGTCGGAAAAAAAACAAATAATGATAAAGAATAGGAATAACGTGTGTGAAAGCCTCAGCCTTCACACGAAAATGCTACACACGGCTAAACAGGAAATGGTCCGGCGTCCCATCCATCCGCCGGGAAGAGTAAATTGAGATATCGAGATGTCTATTAACTCTGAGGATATGCGATCCAGAAAATGGATGCAAAAATGAACGCACACATTTCTTGTTTCCACAATACCGTCCTGAGTTTTGATGATGACCTTTAGGATCTGCACAGTAAATGTTTTCAAAATCACATTTCAGTCTCGCTCATCCTTAATTTTTTTCACATTAATTTCTCTCAGAAACCTTTGTTTTTTTTTTAAGTGCCACATTTAAATTGATATTTACATTTGTGCAAAACATTTGTGAATTTTATACAGCAGCGGTCGGACTACTGGATGCGTTTGTCATTCGATCCATTGTTGAATGTCATTTCAAAATAAAGTAGGAAAAGGTAAGGAGTCAGAGTGTGTTGTAGAATGTGTTTAATAGAATAACTGAAAATAAATCGCAGTATATCATTCTTGTGACATAAAATGGCCAATATTGTGATAAGATTTTTTTTCCCCATGTTGCCGAGCACTAGTTGTAACTAAAAAATGAACAGCAGACTCGGTGGGAAAATAACCACTTTCTACTCAGCTACGGCACCTCGGAGAAAGTGTGCTGTGTGTTTAGTCCGCGGGGCGGAACGGGGATGGCTTGGAGAGCAAAAAACGGGCAGCAATGCAAAGAGATGGGTGAATGGTGAGGAATTAGCATTTGAACACGGCTAAAAGTTCCAAGAAGATTGATTTTGTAATAAGCAGACCCCTTAATCGACCTTGACAAGTGTCAAGTTTTTCATTGCATGTTAGCTATGCTTGCCTGACTACTGTTCTCATACGTGTTCAAATTAACGGTGAGTGTGATTGATTAAGCAGATTTGGCTGTAATTTGTTTTTTTAATCAACTACAACACAAAATGAGATGTTGGAAGAACAGTAAGCTGTATTAGTTTGATCGACGAGGTCAGAATTCTACACCGTCCTTAAAACGTTGGGAATTTAAGTGGTCTGAGCCATGAAAATTTGCTCATCCAGTCATCATTGACATTAGAGTGGTACCTCTACTTCGGAATGTCTCTTCATACGAAATTTTCAAGTTACAAAGCGTCTCAACAGGAAAATATTGCCTCTTTTGTTACGAAAGAAATGTCAGGTTACGAAAGGTAAAAATACAGTCTGGACTGCTACTCGGAGCTCCGAGTTTCCTGAACGCAACATACTTATAGCTGCTCTGCCATTGGCTATTACCTTGCATCTTCCTGGCATCCCGTTGGCTAAGAGGGACCTCGACCGTATGTGTCTATCTGTGTAGATCGATAGATTTGTGTCGATGCAGCGACCTCATCATTCGCCTCTCGGGCCATGAGGCGTTGCGATAGTTTTACGTAAATGTGAATCACCAGAAAAAGTGTTCACCAGTTGGGCGATCGCTCACGATGCTGATGTTTGCCTTGGACATTTTCCAAGGATTGTTAAGAGCGGACAAAAGCAAACGTCCTTGGATCAGTTCTTTACAAAACGCCAGCCAAAAACCACTTCTGAGAGAGAACATGAACTAAAGAGGGCAAAAAACGATGAGGATGCAGTTAAAAGTTAAATGACCATCATTTTTATTCTTTACATTATGCACAGCTCTTATTTATTGTGCAATAATCTAATTGTAACATGTATTTGTCACATATTTTGATGCATTTTTATGCTTTAGGAAAGATTTCTGTCTGAATTGGGGGGGGGGTCTTGGAAAGGATTAGGGCATTTACACATGGAAAACGCGTCTCTATTTACAAAATTTTCAACGTAAGAAATTTCTTCCAGAACTAATTAATTTCGTAAGTAGAGGTACCACTGTATGTTAAAAATATGGAAATTCAGACAAATTTTTCAGGAGGTGCAGTTCTCCAGGTTGGCAGGTCTGCTTTGACCATTTCTCATTTTGGCTTTTTTAATCTATGTTTTTCATCTCAAATTTTAATTTTTGTCCCCATTTATGAATGTCAGTGTTTATTTGATGGTCTAAAAAATGGGCAGCATATCTATCTATCTATCTACCTACCTACCTACCTATCCATCCGTGTGTGTGGTTTTGACGACAACATCTCAGATCGCAAAAACAATTAAAGAACCCAAGTCGGACATTGTCTCTCATCAAATAAGGACAAAAGAATTGTTTCCGGTATATTTCCAGTCTGTTCCTCCTGATCATAAGTGCAATCTGATGACTCCCATAAACCTACAACCCTATCGAATGACACTTTTTGTTTTTGTCAGACAGGTAGACAAAGAATTCTCACCATAATAAAATCATCCAGCCCATCGTCCTTTTTTTTGTTTTGTTTTTTTTGCTCAAACTCAACTGTGGAAGGGAAGACAAAACAACAGTGTTCTTCCATAGCTGGATGATGGACGAAAAGGACATCTAAATCAAACAGAATCCCATCAAAACAAAATGAATCAAATTAAGAGGTATTACAGTCACAGTGCAAAAAAAGATGAGAAATTCAAGCTTCATACAAAAAAAAAACAGCACCAAATGAAAAAGAAAACAAATAAAAAGCCAAGAACGTGCATGCATTTAACTGAGGTACCGAGGTGAAAATGGACACATTGATGAAGCAGAAAATGACAATGACAATAAGACAGACTGCAATAATACGTACGATCTGTGAAGAGAAATCAAGAAAAAAATGGCCGATCTTCTTATTTCCCATGATTAACTTGAACCTCATGCTGTCAAAGCGGCTTTAAGGATTTGTCGAGGATGTAGTGGAAGTGAACACTTTCATGTCGGAATACATTTGTCTTTTTGTCATACAACCTATTGAAAATGTGTGTCAAAGTTCTGCAGCATAATGTACAGATCATTGAAACCCGAATGATTTTGTTGAAAGCCATTATAGAAGTGGTCCCCAACATGTTCGCCGCCCTGGACCGCTTCATAGGAGTTCATATTGTTTGAGGCAGGCAGTGGATTTGCAATGCTAGAACAACAAACGTTTTTGACCAAGATGGAATGCCTTTTTTTTTTTTTTTTTTGCTTTGCTTTGCAATGCGTTTTGCCACCAAGTATGAGAATCTAAAGGCACTTACAGGTCCATTTGCTGACCAATCGATTTTGAAGGCGTCATTGACCAATTGGAGAGTCGCCTGCCGTAAATTTGTGCAGAGGGGGCTCGGTGTGTGGGAATCACCTGTCGTGACAAATCCATATTTCAAGGATTTTTTTTTTCTTCATGGGCAAAGGCTTTCATGATGAATCCTCACTGGATCTTTCCCCCAGTGCAAAGAAAGTTTTCCAAATACATCTGGTGTCCCCCCAACTCATCAGTACCATTCCGATTTTCTCAAATACGACCTGGGTCTCTTTCGCGTGTGGATATAAATCAGACATGGATGCAATGTGTCAGCAGTATGAACGCTCATCCACACGGATCCTCTTTATATACCTCATCAGAAGCCCAGTATCCAATATGCACTCCGCTCGGGCAGATATCGTAAGTGAGTCCCCAAAATTGTTTTGAGAAACAGTTGCTGTCTATACAATTGACTTCAATTTAATCCCACGTGAAACATGAAGCATAAAGTGGACATTTGTGGTGACAGTAATAATTCAGCCATGCAGACGTTTCAATCATTAACAGTGGCAATGATGTGACATCTTAAAATGGATGTTACCATGAAACGAGGAGCTCGAGGAGCGTTGCCTCCTATCGACAAAATATTTCTACCTTCTCCCGCCTTGCTACTCAGGCGATCTGAGATGATAAAATGAGCCCTGACACGTGGACCATATTTACTTCTGGAAACAATGCGCCACGTAACGTCTTTTTTTGGGGTGATAAATATTTGTCAGCCCTCATAATAGGTAAATTAGAAGTCCAGTCCGTTTTCTTTTTTTCTCTTATCTGTGCGACCTGCCATAGCGACCCACGGCCCGGGTGTTTGGGGACCACCACATCAGAGCACAAGAATGAATAGTTGATCTATTAGTACATAGATGTATTTAGCGGTGAACCCAATAACGAACGTAATGCCAAAACATTTAATCTCACTGTCATATACAAAAGAGGTAAAACACTCACAGAGGAAATCAAATTCATACAGTTTTAGATAACAACATGCAACCCAATGGCGGTTTATAACTAATTTAAGTTACAGTAAAGTGGGAATGTTTACATTCCTGTCTATTTTGAAGAATATACGAGTGAGCCTCAGCCTCTACGTTCCAAAAACATAATTTGAGATTTTTATACGTACTTTCTATCTCGATATAATTTTGGTGTCAACGTTGACGGCACATTTCTCAGGATACAGAACCCAAATGACTAAGTCTGAGAATGATTACAAAATACAATTTTAAGACAATTCTCCGACAGCAACACAAGTGTGTATGCGTTTTCTCTCCAGTGGAATCCGGTTGCTACGTCTGCTGCTTGCATTTCTTGAACAGTTTCAAACTTACTGGCATTAGTGCACAGGTTGAGGAGCTAAGCATTCTTTTTTGTATTCCTCCTAGCTATGTTCATTGATTTACACTTTTATGGAACTATGTACAAAGTGACAACAAAACAGGCATTAGCCTCATCTTAATTACTGAGGGGAAGGGTAAAAGTGATAGATATTGCAACCTGACCATTTGAACACTTTGCTTAATGTTAATAAAGCACTCGTAAATACAGTACACAAAAGCGAAGACAGAAAAACAAAGATTGTGTTTGCGCAAAAAGAACGAAAAAGGTCAGATGTGAAATCTGTTGCCCAAAAAAAAACAACAAAAAAGAACCAGTCTGCTTCTTCTGGTGCATCTCCACACAGTGTTCCCTGGCTGCCTCAGATGTTCATCATTTCGTATAACATACTGGGCATACTTAGCATGTTTGTTGTGTTGGATAGCAAATACTGCTTTTTTTTCTCCAGGAGCGTCAACACCGAGGTGATTCACGCTGAGAGGAGCTCAGTTGTTTTGGACCTGAGGTTGATTGGCTTTGAGGCTGCGCAGAGCTCGTCGGGCTGCTGCTGACTTGGCAATACGGTAGCTGCGTCCAACTCCTTTGAACTTGCCCTTTCCGACGACTTCTACGGTCACCCGGACCTTTCCGTCATAAGTTCTCTCCGCGGGGCTGCACACACAAAAGGACAGTTTTTCACACTCGGGACACCATAAAAATGACATACAGGCGTGTTTTTCAAATCAAAACAAATTTGACACAAACATTACTTCATTTTCGGGATTTTAAAAGTACCATAGAAAGTAGCAAATAGGCAGTCAAAAATAGATTGCACAGCACCATTTCATACTGACTCAATTAATGATAGATCAACTCACAATGCCAACATTTCCAGACTATAAGTTGCCATTTTTGTCACACACTTTCAACTGTGTGGCTTATTTAATGAAGCGGCCTATATAAAGATTTTTCGAACGGCCGCCAGGGAGCGCTAGAGCAGAAAAGGTAAGAGTGTGACAAGTTGATTTACACGTGTCGAGGAAGACGCTATCATCTGTCACACTGAAAACAACCGGCCATGAGAGCGGGCATTTCACCTGCCAAAAAACCCCTCCCGAAAGACATTGTCGTGAAAGTTGATACAAAAGTGTGGATGGTAGAAAGCCAAATGAATGAATGGTTGACTGAGCGTTACGGCAAGCGAGGATTTTTTCATAGAAATAAGCATGACTCGGCGAATAGTGAGTTTTTTTTTTTTTTTTAACCAGCCGTGCAATTTTACTGCCGCATTACAGGCACTATTTAGAAAGAAAAGTTAAGGTATGTTATTAAAAGAGCGCACCTGATTATAAGCCGCACCCAAATTTAAAGGAAGAAACATTTTGTATACACATAAGCCGCACCTGTCTATAAGCCGCAGGTGCCCACATTGTAACATGAGAAATTTACAAAGAAAGAAGGTACACAGCAAGAGGTTTCAACGTTTAATAACTTAACCTGAACTTTTCTTTCAAAATAGTGCCTTATAACAGGGCACACCATCAAATAAGCTGCAGGGATGAAAGCATTTGACAAAAGTAGTGGTTTATAGTCCAGAAATTACAGTAATAAACATGTTTGTGAGGAGATAGGGTGGGGTGGGGAGAGGAGGTTCCCAACATTAATAAAGAGTCATGAATGCACATCCCAAATTAGAAAAGATTTGGATGAAAGATTTTCACAACCCGAACTCTAAAATTGAATTTTTGCCCTGATGGTGGGGTAAAAGGAAAGGTCATTGCATCCCCAAAACCAATAAGGTTGAATCCTCTTGTGGCTAGTCATGTTGTCAGAAAATGTCAGATTTGTACCAAATTTTTTTATGATAATTTAAAAGTTTCACCTGATGGTGGCGCTGGAGGGCAGGTCAACTTGCTGACAAGTTTTACGAGCAAGGGTTTATTGACTTATTCAATACCTGACACAAAAACTGGCTCAACAAATTCATGTACCGTAAATTCCGGGCTACAGACCGCACCTGATTAAGAGCCGCATGCTCAGATTTATGAAGAAAAATCAATTTTGTAATTATATGCGCCACACCATACTATAAACCGCTGGCCAATGAGTAGGCAGAGGTTTGCTTCTGCGTCCCTGCCACCTGTAGCGCCTCCGGGTGAGGCCATGGACGCGGTCCCCCGCTGAACCCCCGCAGAAAAAAACGCAACAATTTCTTAAGGTTAAAATAATCTCCATATTTTTATGAGCATGATAAATGCATTTGTACAACGAAATTACGCTAACACACATAAGAGGCCAGACAAAGAGATCTTGATGCACATTTGCGTAATTATGAGGAGAAATACTGCAGCCCACTCGGCTTTAAATAGAATAATGCAAATCATATAAATGGGAAAAGACATATGAAATTATTTCTATAGTCAGCCGCTTAAAAATGATCATCGGTGGCCGCTTTAGCATCGGGATGCTGCGCAGCTCAAAACACAGGTAAAATGTGTTCTCTTGTGGCCGCTTGTTTTTAGTATGACCGAGGAGTCAAGCATGATAAATGCATTTGTACAACGAAATTACGCTAACACACATAAGAGGCCAGACAAAGAGATCTTGATGCACATTTGCGTAATTATGAGGAGAAATACTGCAGCCCACTCGGCTTTAAATAGAATAATGCAAATCATATAAATGGGAAAAGATATATAAAATTATTTCTATCGTCAGCCGCTTAAAAATGATCATCGTTGGCAGCTTTAGGCCCGATGTTGCGCGGCTCCAAAC